TCGACCCAAACCACGTTCAAGGTACAAACCACCATTTTCGGCGCCTGCGGCGAGCTTTCTTCGCATTCCTTCCAGGTGGAGAGCGAGCCCGCGACCCACCCCGTGACCAACTCGCGACCAACCCTCGACCCGAACCACGTTGTACAAACCACATTTTTCGGCGCCTGCGGCGGGCATCTTATGCATTCGTTTCAGGTGGAGAGCCCGCGGCCCACCCGCGACCACGTTCAGGGTACAAACCACATTTTTCGGCGCCTGCGGCGGGCATCTTTTGCATTCGTTCCCGGTGGAGAACCCGCGGCCCACCCGCGACCCAAACCACGTTCAGTGTACAAACCAATGTTTGTTGGCGCCTGCGGCGGGCTGCTTCTGCATTCCTTCTAGGTGGAGGTGGAGAGCCCGCGACCCACCCGCGACCCAAACCACGTTCACTGAACAAACCAATGCCGCACAAGCGCGGCGGCGGATTTTTGCATGCCGTCTGAACCCGCAAGGACCTCTTCAAGCCCCGCGCATCCACACCAGCCCGTCGAGCAACTTTGCCCTGGCGAGTTGCCTTGATCAGAGAAGTCGGGGAGCATAAAGTGGAAAAAAGGATTGCGTTGCAGTTATCTTGGGAAAGGAGGGGGAGGCAGGAGGACGAAACATGGGACGAAGAGAACGCGGAAGAAGAGAGGATGTAAGGAGAACGCGGAGAAATAAACGGAAGAGGAGCAGGAGGACGAGGAGGGGGGGAGGGTGAGGAGGGGAAGGAGGAGGAGGAGGAGGAGGAGGAGGAGGAGGAGGAGGAGGAGGATGGACGACAGTGGGAGGACGATGATGGAGGCCGATGAGGGGGAGGACGACAATGGGAGGACGATGATGAAAGGACGAGGGGGGGAGAGGGAGGACGAGGAAGAAGAGGAGGAGGAGGACGAGGTGGAGGAGGAGGATGACGATGACGATGAGGACGAGGACGAGGAAGAGGAGGAGGAGGAGGAGGAAGAGGAGGAGGAGGAGGAGGAGAGCGCCATCGACAGGGAAGATGGGGGCCACGAGGTCCGCCGGCTCGACGACGCCCGCGTCGCCCGCGCGCGCCCCCTCACTCTTATCCGCAATTGCGGGGTGCTACGTATTCTCACTTCAGCCACGCACCCAGGGACAATGAATGACGCGCACACCCTTACTCTGATAATGCGTTTTGCTGTGGGTCGATTCCGTTTCGCACTCTCGTGACGCATGGGAGTGCACGTTTGATATAACTATGCTGTGCCGGTTACACGGGCATCTCGAGACTAGGTATATAGTCGGCCAGCTTAAACCAGAAGTCAATCTCACTCCGAAATCTCACCACCAGGCGGCAAGCTCCGTAGCGCTTGTTCAGCGTCATCCTCCGCAAGGTCGGGGATCGGCGCAAACGAAAACATCGATGAGCACCACTTTGGCCTCGCGCATGCTGCGCTCATGCCCTGCTGGTTGGCCTTGGCCTTGGCCTTCGGCCGCGGGTCGGCACAGCCCGAAGCCGAGGAGCCCGTCGTCGCAGCGCGTGCATGCACGGAGGGGTTGCACGCCAGCCCGTGGACCCGTGCAGTCGGAGCTGGAGGTCCGACGTGACCGACGTCTGTGCCGTTCTCGATGTTTTTGTCGATCTTCGCCATAGAGGTCTTATCATCAGTGCCAAGTGGCGCCTGGGTAGCAGCAGCTGGTCGCTTCATCGGCGGTGCTGCCGACGTTGCGGTTGCTGGGCGTTTCTGCACACTCTTCCCGTCGACGCTCTTGATGCAGTTGGTAGGCCTTGATCCTTCTCGGCTTGAGTCTTGAGCTTCCTGAGCTCGGCCTTGTCCTTCACCTTGTCTGACTGCCACACATGACAGAACGGCATCATGAATTTCACTGCTTTCGCCAGGGTGGGATCGTCATCGGGCACGGCTGCGGGCTGCGGTATCGGCAACTCCCCGAGCTTGTAGACAGCAATTTGCAAGATCTGGGCTCCTTGGTCATACAGGTGTGCTGCTGGAGTTCCAAGTTGTTGTGAGTCGCTGAGTGCTGGCCGGTCCAGCGTGGCGCGCTGCTGCATCCTCTCCGCTTCCCGCCCCCTTGGGCGGCGAACTCCGCCACGGTGATCGACGTGGTCCGATGGATCGGCGTTGTCAGCTATGTTGATCGGGAGCGACATCTCGACCTTGCCTTCGTTCTGGCCGCAACCCACCCTGGTGTCAGCCATGAGCTCGGTCGACCACTCGAACTTCCACTCAGTCTTGACATCGTCAGTCTTGGCCTCGTCGGCGGCGGGAGCTCCGTCGTCGACGCACTCGTCGACCTCTCTGGGGTCCTCCTCGGCGTGCTCTTCGTCGTAGTCGTACTCGTCGAGATCGTCGTCGCCGCCTGGTTGCATGTCGTCGCCGTGCAGGTCGAAGAGCTTGGCCGCCCATGCACGTTTCGCCCTGACTGCTTTGGCCGTGTGACCAACAAGGTTGACCACTATATTGGACATCGTCGCCGCCCAATATTTCCTTTCTGCATCGGTCATCATCAATTTTTTCTGCTTGATCATCGCGCCAATTATCTTTGTGAGCGACTTTGTGACATCCGACACTTCCTCAGGGCAAGGTTTGGGTGGGCCTCCTTGATGCTACGCAAGAGCGAAGCGTGCCTCTTGATCTTCTCTTTGGAAGGACACGGGAATCGGCAACTGAACAATCGTATCGGCAACCGCGCAACAGAATCGCCAACCGCAACAACGGAACCGGCAACCCCGAACAACGGAATCGGCAACCCCAAACAACGGAATCGGCAACCCCGAACAACGGAATCCGCAACCGACAACAACGGAATCCGCAACCACCAACCACGGAATCCGCAACCACCAACCACGGAATCCCCAACCGACAACAACGGAATCCGCAACCACCAACCACGGAATCCGCAACCACCAACCACGGAATCCGCACCCCCCCACAACGGAATCCGCAACCGCCAACCACGGAATCCGCAACCACCAACCACGGAATCCGCAACCCCCCACAACGGAATCCGCAAGCGCCAACCACGGAATCCGCAACCCCCCACAAGATTCCGCTCGGGTTCCGATTCTTTCTCTCCGCTCGGGTTCCGATTCCGGCCTTCTGCTCCTCGGGTTCCTCTTGGGTTCTGATTCCGGTTTCTCGGGTTGTTCTCCTCGGGTTCTGCTCGGGTTCCGATTCTTTCTCCCCGCTCGGGTTCCGATTTCGGCCTTGCGCTCCTCGGGTTCCGCTCGGGTTCCGATTCTGGTTTTTCGGGTTGCGCTCCACGGGTTCCGTTCGGGTTCCGCTCGGGTTATGATTCTTTCTCTCCGGTCGGGTTCCGATTCCGGCCTTCCGCTCCGGTCCCCCTTCCTATTCCGGTATTTTTTCTTTTTCCGGCCCTCCTCTTCCTTCTCTCTCTTATTCCGGTTTTTTGTCTGGCCTTCTCTTCCTTCGGCTCCGGTTGTTCGTATTCTGGCTCTCAGTGTCGATTTCCCCTCCTAGTTTGGTCGCTTTGTTTTGCCGCCTCTCCTCGATTCCGGCCTTCTCCATTCCGCCTTGCTGTTTGGATTTCCTGCTCTGTCGTTGTCGCCATCGTTTCTCCTGTCTTGCGCGTTATCTTTCTCTCCTTCCTTGTTTCTACTTGCCGAGGCTTGCGCTGCGCGCGCCCTGGCGCCGTCGGGAACTCGGGGGAAGTCGGACCCCGCTCAGAGGAATCCCACGATGACCTCCGCGTTCAACGAGACGTCTGGGCCAACGTAGGCTTCAGACGCAGTGTCGAACAAGAGGGAAAGAGTGGACGTGCAGCCTGCTGAAGAGGCTCCTCCCCGTGGCGAGTGGCAGCGGGGGCCCCCCCGTGCGACCCCGCCGTCCGTGGTGGTGCCCGAGACGGCCAGCAAGGAGGACGTCCAGCAGCTGCTCCAGCTGGCGGAGAAGTTCGGCGACGCTGCAGCGGCGTCGCACCACCGTGGATGGATCGCCAAGAAGAGCGCCAGCGACAAGCTTCCACCAGCCAAGCCCCTGGAGAAGCAGGCCGAGGAGGCCCGTGGTCGTGTCAAGCCCCTCGAGACAAAGCTCAACAAAGAGTTGGCCGACATCGAACGTGCACGTACCTGGTATTCAGACTGTGTCGAAGCAGCAAAGAAGCTCAAGATCGAGTTGGACGAGGCGGACAAAGCTCACAAGAGACTGGTGGACCAGCTCCATCATGAGGTTGTGGTTCCCTCTCCTGCTCCTGTGCAGCGCGGTCTTTGCTTACGAGACATCCTGGACGGCAAGGAAGGAGCAATGTCTATCGATTACGGAGAAGGAGTTCTTGGCTTGGACGGTGACTACGAGTGGTCTGATACCGATCTGGAAGAATTCAATAAACGCAAGTCCCTACATGAAGGACAGCTGGCAGACATCACTAAGCAGTTGTTCGCCAAAGTCCAGCAGTCTGTGGACGAGATCAAGAAATCACACAACGAACACATGGGTCGGCTTCAGAAGAAGCGCAAGGTCTAGTCAGGCGCTGAGGCGGAAGCAGTTGGTGGTTCGGGCCGCGGCCAACCTGAACAACCTGGTGATTCCGCCCCTCCGTCGCCAGGGACGGGTGCAGCAGCGACTGCCCCTCCGACTTCGGCGACTTCGGCACCTACAGCAGCGGCTTCAGGCAGTAGTGATGTGCGCCAGCGCGCAGACCGTTTGCTCAGCATGCCGCTGGCCCCTCCTGGCCAGGACAATGAACAGCCCCCCCGCCGCCTAGTGGCAGTCAGCACCCACCTTTGGAGGAGGCGGCGACGGGGGGCAAGTCGTCTCATCAGTATCTATCCAAGCTCTCACATTCCATGGGCGGGCCTCCTGAAGGCCGAGATTTTGAACTCAGCGACAGTTTAGTCGCTGCTCGTGTCGGTGTCGGGTCCAATTTTGGTTTCTTCCATGTGCCCGACACCCCGTCCAAGGATCAGTTTCTTAAAAATTCGAAACTTGCAACGCCACGTCTTGGGGGTCGCGCAAGGAATGGCCCTCGGGACCCAGGCCCATGCCGCTGCCATCCAGGAGCACCATCTGGCGACCAGTGATTCGTGTAAGGAAGCGGAGGCCTGGTGCCTGCGCAATGGTTGGAAGGGGATGTTCTCCCCTGCGAATCCAGGTGAGGGCGAGGGCAGCTCAGGCGGGGTGGCCGTTCTTGGTCGTAACTTCCTCGGCTTGCACCCCTTGACCAACCTCAACTCCGATGTTGTCCCGTCCAGGGCGGTCGCGGGCATCATTCATCTTCCTGGGGGGCGAAGCTCCACAGGTTCTTCTAGTCTCGGTGCACTTGCATTGCTCCGAGGGCCCCACCAATCGCAACTTGGATATCCTGGGCGCGGTCGGCAGCCCCCAGGACACCCATGCGTCTGAAATGTTGGCGGGAGGTGATTTCAACATGAGCCCCGACAAAAACCTGGACAGCGGTTTCCTTGAACGTTTATCGGGACAGATCATCTCCCCGTCGTGCGACGGCACCTGCTCCACGACGGGCGGGATGAAGTTGATCGACTTGTTTCGTGGCCTCGAAGGGCCTCGCCAAGGTTGTCAAGGATTTCTCTGTCCAAAGAGGGTCGAACATCACGCCGCATTTGCCCGTTCAACTTGAGCCGCATGAGCGCGCTGCTACTCTGCAGGCCCTGGCGTTCGACAAACCCCCCCCCCCATCACCTCTGAACGGCCCATCGGGTCCTCGAGGGCCCCTCCTTCCTGGAAGCGTGTTCTTGGGCTTGGCAGCGAGATTTTGCGCGAGCTCGTTCCTGGGGCCTCGACCGCGGGATTCCAGGATAAGTTGTCTCGCCTCTATCGTCGTTGGGGGAAGTTGGCCGAGTACGAGGTGGTTGAGGCTGCTCATACCAAGTTGCCTAGATACGGAGCGCGCGGACGCCGTCCTAGGCTGAAATGGGCCTCGGCGTTTAGGGATTTCCCCCAGGGTTGTGTGCACCCTGAGCTCTTTGGGATTAAATGGCTTACGAGTACCTTCAGGCAGTGGAGAAGCACCAAGTTCGGATCCCCCGAGGCCCATCAGCGCGCTCGGTTGATTGGTGATCCCCCCGGCGACCTAGTTAAATTTCTGGGTCCGCACTCTGCGCTGCTTCTCAGATGCCAACTGAGAGTTGGCGCATCTCGTCCCCACCTTTTGCCGCACACAGCCTCCGAAAATAATGCCAGGAACGGCGCGACTCTCAGGGTCGGCGCCGAGCGTTGGCAGGACGCGCCCTGCGCCGTCGGCTACTGCGACCCCCGCAGCACGGAGGTCGACGGCGCCATCGATGCCATCCAGACCGATCTGCTCGCTGACTTGAGCCAGGCGCTGGAGGCGGAGCGGAATCGTGCCAGGAGCCAGGCTACCAATTCTTGGAAGGAGTGGCTTTGAGAGAACATCGAGAAAGGGGGTCGAAAAGCGCACTTGGCCAGAAAGCTTGCGGCAGGCTGGAAGGCGTCTACCGCCCTCTCTTCGGCCGGGATTGTGATTTCGGACCCTCTGGCCCTCCTCAAAAACCAGGCATCCATTTTTTTCTAAAATCTGGGAGGCCGAATCCAGGCCTGACGAGCGGGGCCCGCCGACGATTGTGGAGCCCCTTCCGCCTCTCGAAGTAGATTTCTTGAGAGAGGTCTCTAGGAGATACTCGGCTTGTACGGCGTGCGCCGTGGATGGATTCCATATGAGGCACTTCTCGTGGATGTCTGACCAATGTTTGCAGGTTGGTTCCATCATGATCAGCATAATGGAGTCCATCCCGTGCCTGCCGCTGCAGGTCCAGCTCACCCAAGTGATTTTACTCATGAAGCCGAACGGCGGCTGGAGGCCGAGTGGGTTGTTCTGCTCCATTTACCGACTTTGGGGACGATGCCGTCGTATTTACGCCCGACAGTGGGAGGTTTTATTTTCTCGACCCTACTTTGCTGGCCAATCGTTCGCCTCCGCCACGGACGTCGTTTGGAGGCAAATGCTGAAATCTGAGGCCGCCAATTCCAAGGGGCTGTGTTCGGGGACTCTGCTTTGGGACATGACGAAGTTCCACGAAGGCATCTCCCTTGAACGGTTGGAAATACACTGCCAACGTTGTCAGTGTCCTCCTTTGCTGTACAGGCTCTCGATTGCTGCGTGCCGTGGTGCTCGGTTCGTGTGCATGGGCAACTACGTGTCGGGGCCATTCTACGCTGCGAGGGGGGTTATCGCGGGGTGTAGTTTCGCTACTCCATACGTCAAAGTCTATTGCATCGAGAGTTTTGGCAAAATCGAGTTCCCCCCCTGCGCGCAGCTTGACCAGTAGATCGATGATAGCGGCGCCTCCAGCACGGGCACGGTCGCGCAGGTTGTCAGCAATTTGAAGATAGCCTCGACTAGCCTGCACAAGGCCATTGTTGAGGAGATGGGCTGCGGCATCTCGCGCGACAAGGCCGCCTTCGTGACTTCCAGCAGGGAGGCCAAGAAGCAGATGATAGATGCTCTAGGACCGCTTGCTGGCAGCCCCTCGGATAGCGCAGTCAACCTCGGCATCGGCGACGCCGCTGACAGGCCCAGGAGGGCCGCTAAAAGGAGCCCAAAAATTCAAACTCAGAGTGGCCCACCTCGAAGCCACCACCAAAAAGCTGGTCCGCATGTCTTGCAGTCTGGGGAAGTACAGCAAAAGAATTGGGGGTTCTGGCGCTCCCCAAAGGGTCCTGCATGGCGCGGAGGTTCATGGAATCTCAGATGTCGAGCTCGGTAAAATCCGGAGGGAAGCTGGAAAAAGTCACGCGGCCTGGGGCTGGAGGCCGCCCGCTCACCCCTACCCCCCCCCCCCCCCCCCCCCCTCAATGACGACCCTACCTGGGTTGCCGCGGTGTCCCCCATCATCAGATACAGCAAAGAGGTGTGGGCGGCCCAGACCCATGCCTACGCTTATTATTTGTCGCACCCTGTTCTTAAGCAAGCCTGGGAACTGGTCTTTAACAGTAAGATGCCCGCTTTGCGACAGATGAGGGGACCGTTGTCAGCGATGGGATTACCGTTAGCTCGGATAGGCTGGAAGATGTCGAACTTCGCGACGTTGATCTCGGACCTCGACGAAGAAATCCAGTTGACGACGGTCCCGCCCGCGCTGCTCAAGAGTTTCCTCAGGGCCGCTGTGCCTCGACAGCTCGAATGCGAGCCCTGTGCTGAGCTTTGCCTGCCGTGCGATCGCTTGTGCTATGATATTGTTCGCAATCAACTTCGATCGAAACGGTATTCTTCGCTCGAGAAAGGGAGTCGGAGTCTCACGTGCGACGCTCTTTGGACCAACAGCAGAGCGATGCAAGCGGGCTACCAGCTGGCCGACGATCGGTGTGCGATGCGTGGTCAACTCGGTGACACGCCGTTCCACAGGCTCTGGCGCCTCCCATGTTTCGATTCGGCGCGATCGGAGTTGATCGACCAAGGTGTTCTTGAAGCCGCTGCCGCGGCGGATCCGCCCGACCCCCTCACCGAGCTCCTCTTCGGCAAAGGTATGTTCCCCCATCCTAGGGACGTTTTCCCTAGGCCTGCGGGCGAGGGTTCTGGGGCCCCGGCGGCCCAGGTCTGGCACGACACCCCCCCCTGACGATGGCAATTTCAGCGGACATAGCTTCGTGGATGGGTGCTGCTTTCGGCACCAAGTCCCAGAGCTCCCGAGGGCGGGGTACGGTCTCGTTTTAGTTGACGACACTGGCACCGAGCGGTGCACGATTTACGCCCCAGTATATGCGCCCTTCACCCAAACCCCCCAACGCGGTGAGTTCGCGGCGTTCGCCAGAGCGGGGATGGAGGTCACGGGCCCGTCGTCGAGTTATAGCGATTGTAAAAACGTCGTGGACCTAGCCCTAGCCCCGAGAGAGTTGCAGTTTTCATACAGGCGGCCCTACGCGGGCCCCATGATGCTATATGACCTCGGTGTTCTTTTTTATCAGTTCCGTTTCAAAGGTGAAGGCCCACTTGGACCCTCATGAGGAGGGCATTGAGCCACACGAGAGATGGTGCAGTTTGGGCAACCACGCGGCGGATTCGGCGGCGAAAGCGGGAGCGAAACTTCACCTTGTGGCCACGGAAGAGGAACAGTCGGCTCTGGTGTTCTGCATTAGGGTCGCCAAAGCGGCGTGCAAATTGGCGGCCAAGATCCTTCCTCAGTGGCCCCGCTTGGACCTCTCCAAGTGCCCTCGGGCGGCCCCTGTCAGTCCCAGCACGGCCTTGTCGGAGGCCGCCTTATCGAAGGCCCTGCTCGAGAGCCAACATTGTTTCGTGCGCCAGCCGTCACGCAAATATGTTTGCAGCCTCTGCCATAGCATTGTACACAAACAAGATATATTTGAGGCTTGCGCCTCCGCCTGCTCGGTCGACCAGTCTGCGGGCCCAGGGGCCATGGACTCTGCCCTTGATGATTTTCGGTCGGTGGGAGTGGGGGTGAGGCTGGGCGGCAAGCACCCTCACGAGTTTCATGCCCTCCGCTTCTGGCCGCGGCACTCGCTTTATTTTTGCGCGACGCGCGGCCGCACGGCTACGGTCGACCCGAGGAATTTGATTGATCGACGCGTACCTGCCGCTCGTAAAGGAGTCCAGAATCTCGCCAGGATAGGGAGGAAGATCTCCTCAAGTTACAGAGGGCCCTCGGACGCGGTGAAAGACGCACAGGCGTCGCGAGTCCGAAGGGAATTCGCCATTGCACACACCTCGCCTGTCGGCGCCACAGCCGACGCTCCGCCGTCGTCGTCGTCGACGACTCGGAGGTATGTTTTTGTTTCAGAGCAGCCGAGGACTCCCGTTGTTGAGGAGACTCGTGCTGTTACGGTGTTGTCGTGCGTCTCGGAAGCGCTCCACCTCGAAGAGGTCGAAGCGCCGCTGCTGCCAGCTACTCGCTCGCCTGCCGCGTCCGACGACTCCGACTGACTGTCGTTGCTAACCTCACAAGCAGGTAACGGCCGCAGTCCCTTTCAGGAGGCGCTTGCCCGCGGGAGATAGCGCCTTGCACCCCGTGGAGGGCATTAATCCCGAGGTTTGGTTGAAAAAAAATTGTCTACATATTCCTCCGGCCATCAAATTACGTGGCGAAGCGGGGATCGGGGGCGAGAGCGGGAGAAACAGGGGGCGCAAGGAGGGAAGGGGAGGCGCTGCGTGGACATGAGTGCATGGTGGAGAAGAATGGGCCATAACCAGAAAACAAAAGAAATACAAAAACATTGGCAGAGGAGCTGGATACCGCAAGTTCTGCTTTATCCCTGTAGAGTTC